TATATATATATATATATAATGTTGGAAACAGGTCAGATGAAATAAACCGAACACAGAAAACAAAAACAATATGGACAATAAGAATAAATAAATGCTGAAAAATCACAAATTGTGAAAAGAAAACATTTTAATGAAGCACAGCTGACCTTGTTTAAACCTAAAGGTTTTTCCATGTCCTGATCAAAAACCTTCATCTGTATATTTTACTTGTTGTTGTGTTGTTGTTGTTGTTGTTGTTGTTGTTGTTGTTGTTGTTATCGACTCTTGATGTTTAGAACTAAAAAAAATGGATGATTCAGAAAGGAAAATGTACAGAAATATAGAAATCATGATACTTTACTCTTCAGATCAAATACTTTTTTTCTGAGATAAGCTTGTTTTGTTATGTTCACATTTGTGTATTTATTTGAACAGCTGTTGTGTGAAGCAAAAAAACTAGAATGGGTCATTTCCCTCAACTATCAAACCTTTTTTTTTTTTTCACAAAATGGCATTACTTTTGAGAAGTGGCTCCATGCTGATAATTGACTAACTTTAAAAGTTGAAAACAGTAACTGATGAACCAAATATGCATTATTGTCCTGTCATCCTGGCTCAGAATGAACCACAGTATTTGCTAATCAGGGGAAAAATATTTTCTTCAAAAACAAATACATTTATGTTTCAGAGTAGAAATTAATTTCTTGTCACTTAGTTATACTGTAAAATACCTACAGTAAAACGTTAAATGCCATGCAGTGATTAAATTAATCAGCTACATTTATTATGTGTAGATAAAGTAGTACAAATTCATGTTTTCATTTTTTTCTCTAAAGAATTTATAGCAGAAATTGTGAAGATTATACCTTCTACATCTGTGGGAAATATGGAAGCCCTTCCCAGTATACATTCATAACTGATACAAAGACAAGGTCTGATGCCTGGGACTACTGTAAACAAAACTATGGCTTTCTGGCACTTTATCAAAACTCTGATCTGAGCAACATGAGTGAGCAGGACTTTCCTGTCTGGATTGGACTCCACAGAGGAGAAGGTAAAAACTAAACACCAACCAAACCACTAAAAATTGAGGGTTAGTTACAGATGGTAGGAAATCACCATATTTGGTTAAAAGTATCTTGTATGCTCTCCAGGTGAATCATGGATGCAGAAAACAGGCTGGTTAAGATATGCTAACTGGAATTTAAATGAGCCGAGTGCCACTGGTGACTGCGTCTCCATCTCCTCGTTGACAAAAAGGATGGCTACTCAAAACTGTCAGGCCCATTTTCCTTTTGTCTGCACTCGGGAGAACGTGCTTCTGGTAAAGGAGAGGAAAAGTTGGGAGGCGGCGCTGAAACACTGCAGAGGCCTCACTTCAGCCAACAGCAATCGTCACTTCGACCTGCTCAGCGTGGACCCTGGAGATGAGTTCTATGTGTGGAACAAAATCTTGGATGCTGACACTGAGGAGGTGGGTTAAAAACAAATATGTTGATCTCATTGTTTTATGTGAGATAAAAGAATACGTGATTTTCACCAGAGGCTGATCTGTTTGTTCTTAGCTTCAGAACCACTTCTGACCATAAAGGAACATTTCAGTAATGTTGACAGTGGAAAAGGATAAGAAGCTCTTTATCTTAGGAAGTTTATGTAATAATTTTTTGTAACCTGTGGGGCGGTTGTGGTGGAGTGGTTAGAGGAGTCGTCCTGGAACCGGAAGGTCACCCATTCGATCCCCCCGTCCAGCTGTTTCAGTCGTCGTGTCCTTGGGCAAGACACTTCACCCGCCTTGCCTACTGATGGTGGTCAGAGGGTTCGGTGGCACCTGTGCATGGCAACCTCGCTTCTGTCAGTGAGGTCCAGGGCAGCTGTGGCTTTATTTACAACTAGTCCCCACAATTTTTTAAAATATCGCCTTGGGTAAAATGCAATTCTAAAGCTGTTGTTTGTGTTGACATCTTACGTTCTTTTGTGACATTAAGTCATTCAGGTTATAGTAAAGGCTTTTCTTCAAAGTAGTGGTTTTAACCTTCATGTGTCTTTGGAGTTAACCAATTTTTTCTGTAGGTGTGGACCGGTCTGCGTTTCCTGGCCAATGAATGGCAGTGGATTAATGGAGCTGAAATGTTGTACCCTGACCTGCCCCGCTGCCCTGTCCCGGCGCAACACTGTGGAGCCTTTTCCAATGACGCTGGCACGATAGTGACCAGGGATTGTGCAGCTCAAAACAACTTCCTCTGTTACAGCTACTAGATGTCTAAATGTTTCTGCCACTCTTAGTAATGCTTCATAGCCAGAGATTTGCCAAACATCTTTTTTTTTTCAAAGGCTGAAGAGGAAACTATAGACTGAAATTCATTTCAGGTTTAATATATTTTCAATATTGTTAAAGATTAAGTGAAATATAAGCGTTGTCAATATTTAATGAAAACTATTTAGATTATGTTGTGGTTGTAGTTTAAATAAATAATGAATTTCTTTTAACAAAAAATGACTGCCATTTTGAATTTGTGGGTGTGGTTGCGTTAGAATTGCTATTTTGAAGTTATATACATTTTGTGAATAAAACACAACTAAACTTAGCACAAAAAAGTAAGGAGTTTTGTGTAGATTATTTCTTTGCTGTATTCATTTTTTGGTAATAAATATTGTTGGAAAAACCTATTAATTTTGCTTTTAAATGGTGCCACATTTGTAAGGAAAATGCATTTGTAGGATGAGCAGTAGAGCTGACCATGTGGGTCATGCACAGGCAAATTTGCAAATCTTCTCTGTAAAACAACTCTCCTGCTGCTATTGACACTTGTTTTGAGCTTGTGGTACCCCCAGGTGTTGCCAATCATAAGATTTATTGCAAGAAGCATTGTTACAAAAAATAATAAAGGAATTGAAATGTATCAAGTTCAAGTCCAAATGACCCACAAAAAGAAGCAATGTTTGGTTAAGTGTTTAGATTTATTTCTTTGTTGTAACAATACTTATTGGCAAAAAAAAAACAATTTACTAATAAAAACCCTGTTTTTATGTCCATATTTGTTAATGTATTTGTGAGTTCAGCATCACAGTGAAATATGTGGTTTGTGCCCACAAAAAACTTATCCCATCTCAGCCAAACAGCTTAGTCTGTTATTGAATCTTGTTTAGTGTCTTATTGTACTGAATGATTGAAGTGTAAAGAAAAAGACATACTGGCAATTCAACAATTTATTTACTGAACAAAATGTTTCAGCAGCATGTGGAAGAACCATACACAGCTACAACAACCTGGCCCCTCTTCTTCATCTTATTCAAAAGCATGATCACACACTGCTGTGGGATGATAATCTTATAATCAATCAGCATTTGTCATATGTCAGTCGTTGTGGTTGTGTCGGTCTTTCTGGAACAAACAGGGTGCTCAAGCTAATTCCATTGGTGCTCAGTGGGGTTCAGGCCAAGACTGAAAACTGCAGATTCCATCCTCTCATCATCTTATCA